ACCTCATTTCACCGAATTCACCGAAAATTCGGATATTTTCATCGATATCTTTTTTGGAGATCTCAGAATTCTCTACGAATTATGTAGGCGTGAAAATCGCGCTATCTTCTTCCTATCCTGAGATATTGGCGAAAATAATCTGGAAAGAAAAGGATTTTAGTCTCAGAATTCAGGGGTGAAACCAAAAATTCGTTATAGCATTTTTTACAAAACTGATTAAGTGCTGGAAAAAAAGTTGTCACAAAAGAATCGCTATCTCTTTAAATTCCGGAGTTATCAGTAATTCCATTGGAAAACTTCACAACGCAAAATAATTTATTTCCACTGCCTTTATCCAAAGCCGTGAAGTGAGATAATTCGAATTTTCCAGTTTATTAAAATCTCAATTGATCCTAAAAACTACTGATTCAATCGGAAACTATGAAAGAACCATTTTTATCCCCAATTCAATGATCTCCAAAAAAGTCCTCCAACATTTCCCTCTGAGATCGATTTTTCAATAGACAAATCCATAACTTAAATACATCCACTTCACAACTGAAAGCGAGAAGTCCATTATCTCCCTGCGATGACACAATTCGTCCCATTCCCCGACAATAAAAATGTTGTAGTGATTTTTCAAGCTGTGCAATAGATTACTAGATGCTGCCGTCAAAAGATGTGTTCGCAGAAGGAGAAAAAATTATAAGGCCCCACGCGGCATATTGGATACAAACAGCAACAAATACTCGAGTCTCATTGTGGAGGGCCCCCTGGGGTCGGTACCCAGGTCGAGTATAGGGGTGCCTAGTGCAGGAAATATTCTCAAAAACATGTCCACAACAATGAGGGCTATTATGATTATTGTTGCTCGTTGGCATCTAGGAGATTTTTTTTTTTTCGACTAGTCGGTCATCTCCGTGAAAGAGACTAGCTTCCGTAATCTCGTTCCTTCTCTCTTCCTTCTTCATTGGTTCTCCATTGCATCCCTTAGTCACCTGGTCAGCTACAGGGTGGGAGAGAGGGAGAAAAATAGAGGAATCCCTGACCCTCGTCATGTCACCCACTCGGGCGTCTCAATACACTCGACGAGAGGATGAGTCTCTCTTCTCTCTTCAAACAATTTCACCGGCAAAATGGGATACCCAGACACTTACACAGGTATACAGAGATGTTGGATTCTTTTTTTCTTCATTTTTTTTCTTCTCAGTTCCTTTTACCAACTCCCCATTTTTATTTATTTTTTTTTTTTTTTCGTGTACAACTTGTCACTGGGTGCTGCTTACCCTGCATCTGGCCAATCTCATAAATTACCCCTCTTATTTCCATGACACATAACCGTGTCTCTTGATATGTTTTTATGTGTTTCTTCTTTGTGACAAATATGTTTGATGGGATGTGACCATTTTTCATCGCTCTTGGCGATTCAATTCGGATGAGATTCTCCGCACCTTTAATGCGAGAAAAAAGGAAAATTTCAGGGGACATGGAAATTCAAGGAATTTCAGAGACGTTTAGCGAAAGGAGAAAATTCCGGGGGTTTAAACGATTCTTATGACGATTACTGGAATTTTCTGGATTTATATCGATTTTTGAGGAGTCGTGGAATTTATTTTTTCATAAAAAAATATTCATATATTCGCTATATTCGGGTGGGTACATAAACAGGGACAAATAGATAAGTAGAAATGAGATCGACCTTGAGATGTCGCGCGTAGTAAAAAAAAATTCGAGTCCATTACAGGTCGAGGCACTCAAGTGGGCATTTAAAGAGCGCAAGATCTCTCGAATGCTCAGAATCTTGGAGCATTCTCACAGGAGTTGTACTGAACGAATAGCACACCAAGGGGTCTCTCATTCATTTCACCGGAAGCACTTCTGAAGGGATGATTGAGACGCCAACCCCCCTCAGCCCCCCTCGCGCCAAGTGGTTTAACCCACGCGGGTGTCTTTCCGCAAAAATGCCCCTGGACTCTCGATAAAACCACAAAGGGACCCCCTGAATTCTCTAAAAATTTTATCCCCACGAAAAATTAAATCACCATTTTATTTATTCTCTTTTTTTTTTCTCCTCGGGTGTCTCAGTTGGCGTGTCGCAATCGATTATCACGCTCGATGAAGAGGCGGGACCACCGCGTGTCAGAGGGGGTAAGAAGGGAAGAAGAATGAACGAGGGGGGACGGGGGGGGGGAGGAAAAAAAAAAGTTGAGAAGAAGTAAAGAGAAAAGGGGGGAATGATGAATTTGCCGTCTGACTCGAGCCGTCGGCGATGCTCTGTCGCTCGTTTGTACACCCGCGCCTCCACCCCCTTTTCACCTATCACCCCCTGCCACCCCCTCATTTCTTGTTCTCATTCTGACTCGGGTTATAAAAAAAAGTGGAGACATACAAAAACAAGGAATAATCAACGCATCGATCGCGTTATCGAAGGTTATTTATACTTAATGATATTTTATCGGATGGAATCGATGAGGTCTAATCGGCGTTCACGCGACGGTTACGTCTTGCTTCACCCGTTTATCCATGATTATCGGGTTGAAGTCAGGTCTGTATTTGCTAAACTTCGTCCACGCGGAAATTTCAACCAGGTCTGACCAATCAAGCCTGGCGCTGGGAAAAAATTTCTTGATGTTGAAAAAAAAAAATGTCTACGTCGTGGATATTGCGCGATTATTCTCCCGCACGTTGGGGTTCTATACGAATTATTATTTAAAGAACAGAAGAGGCATTTGCAGAAGATTTTGCAAAAAAGTGGATAAATAATGGTAATCGTCGGTAGGTCTGAATAAATTGGAATAGAGAAGGAGCAAAAAGGTCAAGTGGATTCATACATTCACTCCCCAGGTCTGGTGAAGGGATGGGGGTGGCTAATGAAGTTTTGATACAATGCAAACGAGTCAGGTTTATTTTCTCCGACTGATATTAAATACGTAAACGTTACAATATGAAAACACGGGAGGAGAACGAGGGATTTGCTCTAGAGAATGGCCACTCGAGCGCACCCCTCTGGTTAGCAACGAGAGAGACTGCGAATATCGTATATCCTATACACACACGTCACACCGATGTATTTATGGGGTGCACAATGGTCGACATCATAAGTATTATCCCCAAGCAGTGTTATATATTTGCACGAATCGTTATTAGTCGTTAACACGTACCCATTCAAGGATAATTTGCCACCATTTCTTTTCAACGCACTGTACAGTCATCTTGTTTGCTCTTTTTGTGCATTATGGATTTTTATATTTCCTTTTTCTCCTTCCATCAAACGAGATAAAAAATATATATATAACGCACGACAAAATAGAACAGATTTACGGCTGAAAAATCAATGATATTTCTCCTCAAATTTATCGCCTGTTCTTCACGCGCGATTGAACTCTTCGGGAAGTGAAAAAAATATCATGAAGATGAATAGGAGGGAGTGGGACAGCCTCTACTAATAGACTGGCATACGGCATTTTACGTGTGACAATGCTCGAAGCGTGTCACAAGGGCATCCCTCATCAATTTTACTCCATTCCGATGATTTCTCATTTTTGAGGACTTTTTGATTTTTCGGCGACGGAAATAACGGAATGGTAAACGGAAAAATTGGGGTACTCGAGAGATTCTTTAGGGATTCTTTTGAAATATTCTAGAAATTTCTAGAAATTTTTGCGAATATAATTTTTTCTTTTAATTATACCCTTGTTTTTTTATTTTTTTTATTTTTCAATATTCTCAAAAAAACGCCATCTAAATGATCAAAAAAATTGACCTATTAAAATTTTTGAAAAATTTTTCAAAACCTTCCCCAAAAATAAAATTGTTTTGTTTTCCACTTGTTTTTTGTTTCATGAAAAAAATTTTCTGAAAAGTTTTCCAGAAATTTTTTGAAAATTCGGGAAAAATATTCCGATTAGAATTTTTTTTTTCACCCGGGTAGATGATCGATTTTCGAGTGCTACTGAGACTATTATTGAAAAAAATATCCAACACTGAAGGATTTGCCAAGTGTCCGAGTGTGGGGGCGTGTCTGAAGGAATAAAACCACCCGCTGGGGAATGGAGAGCGTGAAAAGACGTGGGGAAAGTGCAAGGGGAGACGATGGGTTATGAAAAAGAAGTAGCAAGGTCGAAGGTGGGGCATCCCGTCCTGGTTGTCATCGGCACAATGAGTCGAAGGTTATCTACGACGGAAGGAGAATGAAAAAAAAGGACGAGTGAACGAAGTGAGGAAAAAACTCGTATGGAAAAGTCGAGCGGTTGTATATAGACTCCGTTTGACGATGAAAAATTGACGTTTTTGTTCAGCCGCGAGATTCCGCTGGGAAAAAAATTGAGTGAACTCTGTGTGAAAATTGTTTCGGATGGTTCATCGAATTCATTTCATCCCAGAATAATTATTATTAACACGATTATTAAATGTCATTCCATTTTTTTTCACCACCTACTCCTGAAATTCGTAATATTCGTTTTAGGGAAAAATATCCGGAAAACTTTCTGAAATTCGAGGAATTACAAAAAAGTCTCTTGCCATTTGGATCCTAAATCAGAAATTGTCAAAATAAGTGAATTATTGAGAAGTAACAAAAATTTAAATTCGTAATATTCTTTTTAAACACTATTTATCTGAAAACCTATTGACTTTAGGAGAAACCATAGAAGAACCTTTCTCACCGTAAATTTCATGAGCCATAAAAAAGTTCCTTAGCGTATGCACCCTAAACCGATCATTTCCGAGATAAATCGATAAGTATCAACTGTTAAATTGGAATCATTTGCGTTAAGAATGTTCGACACCCTCTTAACCACAACCAATCGATAGGATTGACTTAAACAAACGCAAAGGCAGATATTATATTTTTATTACATGAATCCCATCGTAAGTAATAAAAAAAATGAAAAAAAAGGGAAAAGTGTAAAATTTCGCGGAAATTGAAGTGATGGGGGGGATGGGTGATTGGGCTGTTGAAACGATATATCAGAGTGAGCGATAAAGATTAATGAAATGAAATTTGATACTGGATTTGACAGGTCACAGTGGTGTGAATCAGCTGGGCGGTGTCTTCGTCGGTGGTCGGCCGCTCCCGGACTCAACGCGACAGAAAATTGTCGAGTTGGCGCACTCGGGCGCACGTCCCTGTGACATCTCGAGGATACTCCAAGTCAGCAATGGTTGTGTCTCCAAGATACTCGGAAGGTTGGTTTGAAGTACTGCACACAGTACATTAATTATTCTAATAATAAAATCGAGACGATGGTAAAGCTGTGCATGAGGTTGAGACACCGCAGGAATGCCAGTCATGTGTGCATGAGGCCTTGGTGGAAAATCTCACCTCCACACCCCCTTCAACCTCATGCCCAACAACATTCCTCCGGCATATCTTGCGTAACTTTGTCACTCTGGATCAACTCAAATGTCTTCTTGATTTATATTCACTTGATTCTAGACCAGCCAGATGTTAGCCTTCACCCAATACCCGAATTATCCTTGTTTTAATACTTCAACCGATTTTAAATGTCGGATGCTATCGTTGAACAAATATCATAATGCCTTTTTAATTCTTAATATAATATGGCTCATCAAGACAAAGATTTTTTATCTTGCGTGATAATAACGGTGTTGGCGAATTTCAAGGCTAATTAACGTTGAGAATTCAATGTTTTTGTTTTTCAGTTAAAAAAATAATTTTTATTTTGCGTTATTTATGGGGAATGTGGGTCGGTAGGTTTAGAAAAAAAATTTCATGACACCCGGTTATAATTCCAGTTGTAACATTCCACCTCGGATTATCAGGAGAATTAATGTCCGTAATGAGGATAAATATTGAATATTGAGAGCACATATACGCCGATTTGAACCGCAAGATATATTACTGTTCCAGGTATTACGAAACGGGCTCGATACGACCGAGGGCAATAGGTGGTAGTAAGCCCCGAGTAGCAACAGCCGAAGTAGTTGGTAAAATTTCCATGTACAAGAGTGAATGTCCATCGATATTCGCATGGGAAATACGTGACCGACTCCTCCAAGAGGGCGTATGCACCAACGACAACATACCGAGTGTAAGTCCCCACCAAAGGGATACATTTTGTTTATTGTTTCAGTCGTTCTTTTTCATTCTTTCGTGTTAAATCCGGTTGCCATGGTTATTTGCATGCGTCCAATAAACGGTCTGAAGGGGCTGTGCACAGACTCTTCGCTTAACGCCAAGAGGGTCGCTGAATATTTCCCTCCGATGCTCATCCCCCTAGAATATATCCCTCTGTCTTACTCACACTTTCTTGGGGATGATGTTCACGACGGGCTAACCCATCCCCTCAGCTCTTCGTAATGGCTCTGAAGTAAACGCGCGTCACCCCTTACTACTACTCCCCAGGGAAGCTCTTGAAATCAGAAGGGGGTGGATTCCATAAGACGCTGCAGCCCTAAAATCGCCATCTTGTCTTTGAGTGAGAAAAAAATTTGAATAAAGAGGCGACTGAAGATGGACGTGAAAAACTCGTCGGCTGGAATTAGTCAAAGATTTTTTTTCGGTGGTTAATAAATAATTATAACAATTACTCATGGGGGTGGATTTCATAAAATTGTCATTTTGTATTTGGGACCCGGGTTAAAAAAATTGTAATGGGAATAGTTTTTCCAAATTTTTTTACCTGGGGAGATAGAGAAATTAATGAAGTGGTGAAAAAATCGAGGGGTATAGAATTACCCAGAAATCACATTATAAAATTCTCTCAGAAATGAATTATTGGTGAAAAATTCTGTTGGTATTTTTCTGCTCTTCGAAAAATTCAATGGCGAAACGGTAAACCTGCGCAGCTTTTTTCTCCAGGCATCCCCTTCAGTGTTAATAAATTCCGTTTACCTAGCGCATAATGGAATATTACACGGGCCATTAAAGAATCGTTAATCTTGGACCACAACAAGTTATCGGTGAGTTCCGGAAAAGCCTCACGGCGATGCTCCCTTGGAACTTTCAGACGGATTAAGGCGCCCAACGCTCCTTTGATCCTTTCCTATCCGAGAGTTTAATCCCCACCTCCTTTTTCACTTCGTCTCCCTTTCTCCTACTTTCTGTTATAATCGCATAATTCGGAGGTAGTGACTTTTATCAACATACAGCTATTGATATCGCCATCCTTTACTCCCCAAAATAATCCTGCCATTATTCATTACCATCAATAAATATACCATTATCATTTTTATTAATTGTTTATTCATTTTGAAATCTAAAAAAAAATACTCAATTGACGCGGAAAGATTTTCCTGCGTTCTCAATTAAATTTCCAAAAATTCCCAAAATGTTACAAAAAATTTATAAAAATCAATTAAACGATGAGAATAAAGTGAACTCGGGTAAAAAAAAATTGTAACCATAATATTTTTTCTAAATTTTCAAAAATGTTTGGGAAATTTTAAAAAATAATTTTCTAGAAATTTTTGCGAATATAATTTTTCCTTTTAATTACACTGTTGTTTTCTTCCTTTTTTGATTTTTCAATATTCTCAAAAAAAAACGCCATCTCAATTATAAAAAAAAATTTTCTATTCAAATTTTTGAACCACTTTTCAAAACCTTTCCAAAAAATAAAATTGTTGTGCTTTACGATTGTTTTTTGCTTGATAAAAAAAAATTCTGAAAAGTTTACCCGGAATTTTTTGAATTACAATTTTTTTTTACCCAGGAAGCCACTGCAAGTACAGCAACATTACTCCTGCAACATAATACCATACGTTAACTCCTCCCATTTCTCAATTTTCCCGGTTATTATTGACAGACGAGAGAAACGAAAAACGAATAAAAGAAAATAATTTTATTGGTTTATGAACAATGCCGGAAATTATGATGGGAAAAGGTTGGGTAAAGGAAGAAAAATCGAAATGAGAAAAGATTGGAAATATTAAGCAGCTGAAGTAGAGATTGGGATGTGGAGGTGAAAGTCACTGAGAAAAGCAGAGACTGAACATATTCGAAGCGAGTCGTGGTGATTGGGGGAAATTTCATTATTCTCAGACATTACCCCCGTTATTGTAATGCCATCAAATTGGATACGCTCGGTACACTGGCCTCCCCCTTTCCACCCTTCTTCCCCCTTTCCACCCCTTTTCCAACCCCCTCACCCACAATTCAGTGCTACCACCGCTCTGTGGAATATTCGCCTCCTTCGATTTCTCTCAGCCATATTCTTCCCGACGACTTGACTCGTCGGTTTTCCTCCATTTTCTTCCTATCAATTTAAATTAGATTTTTTTTTATTTCCTTCTCTTGTTGTTTTCTGATTTTTATTTATCATTCTCCTTTTTATTTATGATTATTTATGAACTCCATCTTTTGGCAGATGCGGATGGGATGATGGGGGGAAGAGGCCGCCGAAAAGGTCGATATAGGGTATTTTTCTCTCTTTACTTCTCGTACGGATTTGAATCTGGCAGCCGGTGGTGGCGTTATTGGTTTATTCGCACCACTGACTTTCCTACCCACCGGCTTTTCCCCACATTTTATTCCACTGTCCCTTATACTTTCCTATCCATTTGCATCCGGTTTTTCAACTGAGATACGCAAATTACTAAATAGATAAAGTCATCATTACGAGGGGGAGTAAAGGACCTCTCCTTACTGCAATTCATTATAATATCGAAATTTTCAATAGCCGCTCTCCACCGACAACAATTCCAAAATGATCCTGATGAATTTAATTACCCCACATAAAACTCTCTAAAATCCGAATTTTTCCTCTCCTTTCGCAATTCCTAAAAAACCCAACAACAAATGAAAATTAATGGAAAACCCAAGGAAAGCTTCTGGAGCAATGGAGCCCCTCAATAATATCCCGAAATGCTCGAGTAAAATTTTTCCTCGAAGCCATTGACTTCCTTTTTTAAACAATTGTTTTGCCGCCGGTGGAAAACGCGGGGAATTCGATAGAGCCCCGGTAAAGTAACCGCAACAATGCCTTGGTGGGTAATGGATGGGCTTGGAGAGCCAAGGCGAGTGAATTGTTGGGCCATGGGTCTCGGAGAAGGCAGTATAGATAGGAGACTAAGGGATGAGACCCGAGAGGGTGGTGGAATCGCGGGAAGAGACACCCTTTGCCTCGTTCTCGCGTAAATCAATGCACCCCCTTCCCCTCGGGCCCTAGTCGACTTCTGGCGCGTCGCGAGAGGAGAGGAACCCCCATCCCCTGGGTGAGTTAGAGGGTGTCGTAGACGTCCGGCTACTGCATTATGTATTTCTCACCAAACCAACCTCGACTTTCATTCTACAGTGTCCCTTCTTTCTTCTCTCGTGCCACTTTTTCTCCTCACCGTTCTCTTTCTCGTCTTATATAAACCCACCCCTGCTGCTTTAATCAGCGATCACGCCAGTACTCCGTAAAAGGAACTGGAATAAATCAATTCCTTCCACTAAAAGTCCAACTCTTTTTCCCTTTTTCTCGCTTTCTCGAGTGTCATACACTTGAACACTGTTTTCCTTTTCTCGGGGTACGATCGAGTGTCGGCGTGGATAACCGCAATGATATTACACTTGAAAGCCGGTGATGCCTATATTGTTTATCAATTTGAGTTTGCAATAGAGAAACTCCACTGGAAATCTTACACCCTTCATTTTCAGAATCGAAACCCAAAAATTCTGGGACATGCGTCATCGGATGAGCAAATACAGTAGAGTCCCATTATAGTCTCACCTCTCGTCAATTTCTCTTTTCGCGTAACTTTCACCTTGGACCAATGAAAAATAAATTAATGCAGAGGAAAGTTCACATTATTCTATGCAACTTAAGAATTCATTAAACCGAGCCCCCGATTTCTGCTCCCACTGCATAAATATCTCGCGCAGTTTTTCGTAGATAAAAAAACTATAACCAGTTGTAAGAGGCAATAAAGTCGGACGCGTGGCGGTTTCACCCTCACATACACAAAATGGGGTGAAATGGGGGAGGAGAAGGGGAAGGGAAGGGGGTAGACTGTTACGGAGGAAAGCGAGATTAAAAGCAGTGATTATACGTGGCATCGAGCCGACTCTGGTCATCCCCTTTGGTCCCCCTCTTTATGCCATTCCTTTTCACTCCTCCCACCCC